AAAAAAAAAAAAAAAACAAAAAACAAAAGTAAAAAAGAAAAGAAAAGAAATTCAAGATGATCAGTGGATCAGTCACGTCCCACACGTCTATTTTGCCCCGTTTGCCCCATTTGGAAAGGGGAAAAAGTCTTCGCCATAAGATATAAAATCACTAGGGTTAGGTATGTCACAAGGTCCAGGTCGAGGTCGTTGAGGGAATGATGGGTCGGACGGTGTGAGGTGGTTTCTTTTTATTGGCGTGATTTATTTTCTTTTTTAATGCAGGTTTTTGTTGGGTCGTACTTACCGATGCCCTGGTCTTTGATCAGTGGTCTGATCTCTCTGTCTCTCTCTCTTTTTTGTTTTTGGGCCCTAGTGGTATGTGTGAAACATTTTCAATGTGCTGTACTTCTACGTATGGACTTCTACGTATGGACATTCATAGTCTAGAAATCAGGACCGGTGTACAAGGACCCAGACCCTTGGTGATGGGCTTGGCTATTCTTATAACCTTATTTGTCTGCTTTAAGGTTGATTTGCATAGGATCTGCGTTTTATGGGTTCTGAGGAACTTTTGGCTTTCGTTCCTTACTCCATCGTGAATCCCGTGTTCTTTCTTTAGTAACTGTACCTGAATATGGATCTTGTCTTGACTGTACGGAGTACGGGGTACGGATACGGAGTACCATATACATCGACGTGCCAAGGTGGACCTGTGGACTGCACCAGGCCCAAGCTTGCGGAGTACCGCGGCAGAACCAAACTCCCATTGAATTTAAAACAAAGAATACCGGGTTGCACGTCCCGTGCCAATCCTTGGGATGGGAGAAAAATGCAAAAAGAAAAAAAGATTTTGCCTCCAACGAGAATCGAACTCGTGCTTGCGGATTGCCAATCCTTTTGGATAGGAATTGTCATATTACTATGAGACCGCCGTCCTAACCACTAGACTATGGAGACTGATTGTGAAATATCCCTTTCCCATCATCTAATATGAGCCAGAGAGTAGTTGAGAATGGACCACGAAGACTTCTCCAATGTCCATTATCAAGTGCTTGGTGTGTGTTTGATTGAGCCTAGATCTAAAACGCGGTTAGATCGTGTTTGATATTTGGCTATGGATGTCATTCTCGGGATCCCTGTTGTGGCTGTGACTGGCCTCATGGTCGTGGGATGTTGTTCCGGCCTGGATAGGACATGTCGTTGAACCCAGTGGGGGCCGTAGTGGTTTGCCTGTGGATCATAACCCTTCTAGATGCTGAGCGGCGAGCCAGGCATGATGCATCATGCATCAGGCCCAGCAACGGCAAAGAGCAACCGTAAGTTCAACGTTGATCATTCACTTTCTAGTATCTTACTACCCATGACATTGGCAATTTCATAATTCATGACCGCGAAAAGCAACCATAATTATTTAGGGTATGCCTTGATGTGGTGGCTCTTCAGCTTGACGAACTGTTCAAATCCAAACCGGCTCAGAGTTACGCCCCGTCCCGAATTCTTCCAGCCGGTCCATGCAAGATCCTGAAACAGTCAGTATCATTCGAGGCCCACCATTGGAAATTCAGATCTCGGTCCGGCTGCAAACTTACCGGACTAGGATAGTCAGATCGGTTAATGAAGACCGTTCCCGCCTCCACCCGTTCAACCAGTTCCTCAGCCTTAGCGACATCCCTGGTCCAGACACTGGCAGTCAGTCCAAACTCGCTACTGTTCATCAGCTCAATAGCCTCCTCGTCGCTGTCAACCTTCATTACAGGAATCACAGGACCAAAAGTCTCCTCCGTCATGACAACCATGTCATGGTTCACACCCGTCAGAAGCGTAGGCTTGACGTAGTTGCCGTCAGCAGGAGGGTTTTCAAATGTTCCATTCGCCGGAGTTTCATCCCTGGCACCCTTCTTGATTGCATCTGCGACATGGGCCTGGATTGTGTCTTTCGCACGTTTCGAAATAACAGGTCCGATCTGCGTTTGCTTGTCAAACGGATCTCCAACGCGGTACTTGGCCAGGACCTTCTTGGCTTCCTCAACAAAGGTATCGTAGATGTTTCTGTGAACGTAGACCCTCTCAATCGCACAGCAACTCTGCCCACTGTTGAAGATAGCTCCATCAACAACCTCCTCTGCGGCCCACGCCGCATCCACATCATCCCGGACATATGCTGGGTCTTTGCCACCAAGTTCCAGCCCAACATTGACGATGCGGTCTGACGCGGCTTTCTGAACAGCCAAGCCACCGGCCACCGAACCCGTGAAACAGAGATGATTAACCAGAGACGACCGGACAACAGTTTCAAGCAATGTAGGGGATCCACAGTGAAAATATTGAATGACGTTCTGAGGCAACCCGGCGTCCGCGAAGGCAGCAGCAAACTGCTCCACTACAGTCGGGGTTTGTGGGGAGGGTTTCAAAATGACAGCATTTCCGGCCAGAATAGCAGGAATCAGGCTGTTGACCAGGATTAAATAGGGATACTATTTCACACATAAGTTATGAGTTAGCTCATGTAGTCCCGGAGAGTAATTTACGCAAAAGTGTAACGGGAGCATACATTCCATGCGAAGATAATAAGCACGACACCAACGGGCTTCCGCTTGATGTAGCGCCTGAAACCCTTCTCCTCTTCCCCAGGAACAATTCCCTCTTCGCCCAGGACCGAGTCGCTGATCTTGGTCAGATAACGACTGCGCTTAATAGCTGTCATTACCTCGACACCGGTATAGGCGATCGGACGACCCATTTGCTCGGTTAACTCGTGCGCTAGCTCATCTTTCTTTTTCTCGAGGATGTCCAGTGCACGACTGACAATCTCCTGTCGCTGTTTGAGAGTGGTCAACTGGGAGAATGATCGGAAAGCTTCATGGGCGACTTCCGGAATCCGCTGCAGCTCCTCGGGAGAGACGCCCGTCCGGGTGAGGACTGGACGGTTGGTGGAGGGGGAGATGGTTGTGAGAGTTTCGAGCGACATTTTGAAGTTGTCGGTTTACAGTGTCTAGGTCAAGACAGAACAATGAAGCTTTGTCTGGGTAATTGTCGCGGGGGAGGGATGCAGCAAGGCAGCTTGGTAAGTGAAGTAGTAGTAGGAGGAGGGGGGCATCGTCACGTTATCGGTTGGAGCTTCCCCGCTGTGGCGGCCTAATAGTAGTTTACTGGTACGCAGCTCTTCAAGTCTGATACTGCTCTCCTGAGAGATACATGGAGCTTCTGGAGCGGAGTTTAAATATACTATTGGAGGCTAGATGTCCCCGAACCTGAAAGTTCTAGACAAAGCTTGACGCATGAAACGTATTCCTGCGACTCTTCATGCACTACTAAAGATCACGTACCAAGCGTGCTCCTGCCCAAGTGTAAGGGTAGTTGTGCTGATACCAATTGACACTGGAGAAAATGTTAGCATATACAATAGTACCAGGGTTCCATGGCGGTAGACTTACAAAGTGGTACGCCCGGCAACTCGAGGATGAGTGGCCCAAGAACCGCCCAGGATAATATTGTGTTTGCCGTCAAAGAAATCGGCTGTTTGGAATTAGCAAAGACCAACTGTCTACTGAAAACACATCACCCAGAAAGATACTTACATGTATATCCGGGATAGATTTCCATGGCTCTGAAGCCATCGTGTGGCGCTAATGGTGTGCTCGTCCACTCCCAAGCGCCTCCCAGTTCGCCCTGACCGGCGAGTCGATCGCCGTTCTGGATGACTGGGGTAGGGTGCCAGTGCTTGAACCCGACATTGAGACCGTCGAGATCAAGGAACACTGGCAAGGCATTCCGCGAAGGGTATTGTACAGGCTGGTGGTCTGGCGTGCGAGGCTTGTTTGGATTGATCTTTGAGTATCCATTTTCATTCACGCCATTCAGATTAGCGTTCGCACTGAATACAGTCAGCTCTGTTACAAAACCTTCAAATATATGTCATCTTGCAGCTTGCACTAACCGATGGCCATTTGTTTCACTATAATGCTCCATACCGCCCTCCTCCTTTAGTAGCGTTGAGTATAGATAGATACTCCGAGCTTCTTCAAAGGTCGGGAGTCTGTAGCCCACCCACTTTGCGTATCTGGCAAATTCATCATATGACGCCATCAAAGGCCAGTCCTGTGCAAGCTCAAGCGGAACGGGTCCGAAAACAGTGCGAACAGCAAAGTTGGACATGAAGTCTTTGGTAGCTTGGACACTGCTTCCGTTGATAGCCAGAGGTATTACATAGTCTTCATTTGAATGGGTCAAAATCCATGATGCTGGCTTTCTTCGCGACTGTGTCACTTGCAAGAACTTAGCATATTCGCCATTGGTGATAGGCCTACCCTGTGCCTCAAATGCCGGAACAGTCACCAGTCTTGCAGGCTTCTCATTGTCCCACCCATAGGCCGTCGGGGGTACGTCGTTGCCATCAGCGCCATCGAGACCAATAGGAAGTGTCTGCTCTGGAATGGAAAACCACTCATTCGGTTTCTGAGCCTTCCGAGCCTCATGGTACATCTTCTCAAAATCCGGCCATTCGGCAGCGGGCGGAGGAAGCATCTTGTCGCTCTGGATCAACATGTACAGGAATGTTTCTAGGTGCATTACCTCGTGCTCAAATCCAATCCAAAGAGCCTCACCCAGAATTCTGCTCTCTGAGAGATCTTCGATCTGGTAAATGGATCTCACTCGGCTTCTGACTTGTTCCTGGTAGTCCAGTATATTATCAAGGGCTGGCCACTCGTCTGGGATCTCGCTGTGGGAATGACACTTCTCGGGGTCATCTACGTCGGGATCAACACCGCGTTCGAAGATTAATTGATAGGATTTTGGATCTGTTGGTTTTTGACGTAAGGCTCGGGTCAAGTGAATATCTGTCCACGTAATTAGCTTCGGTTTCCGTGCTGAAAAGGGTACACATAGACTAACCCAAGAATGTGGGAATATGGCCCAGATAGAAGATTAAAGAATTCCGTAACATGATTGGCTGTGAAAGAAGCTCCTCGCGGGGAACCATCGCTTTCGTAACATTATCCCATGCCGTCCACAGAGCTTGCCATTCTTCAAAGCTGGGTATAGATTGAGCTGCGTACTGAGAGGAGGACGTTGGGAATTCGAAGACGGCTGACGTCAGGAGATGAACATCTGGTTCATAAAAATCCCAGTCAGGGCACGTCTGGTAAAATGAGGCAGCCATTGCTACTCACGGTAATCGCCAGATCCATTGCCTAACTCCGTAGTCTGAATTAACTTGGCATCACGCCACAGTTGATCGCGTTCCTCAGGCCCGTACTTGTATGCTTCTTCGAAGACGAGTTTCTCCCCTTTTTGGAGAAGGACCCCGTTGATAGTCACGTCCTGCTTAGGTGAGTAGGCTGCCTGATGTCGTCCTTCCACCGCATCGTAGCCGGTCACCACTTCCCATTCATCAAGTTTGAAGGCCTCGTACCCAAGAACGGCGTTTGCATGCAAGAGCCCGTTCTCGTAAAACTGTTCTGTAATACCCCTAGAATCATTGTAGGCTCTGTACACTTTGTCCGGATCCTTGCAGCCGTCCAGACCAATTATCATCATATCGGATGGAGCAAGAAGCCTGGCAAACTGGGAAAGAAAGCTTCCTGCGCCAGAACGGTTGAAGTTTCCTAAAGAGGATCCCATAGAACAGATCACCGTCGGCCGCTTTCTGTTCCTAGGGCTACCAAGCCAAGTGACGGCGTCGTCGTAGGTCCCATGGAGACCATGGAAACCAACGTGTGTGTACTCGTCAACGGATACCTCTGAGAAGGTGCGCTGCAGCTCTGACAGAGACAGATCCAGGGCATAATAATCCACATACTTTCCCACGCGCTCAAATTCCCGCAGCAGTATCTCGATCTTTCGCAGGTTCCTAAAAGAGGTCAAAACCGGACAATATCAGTGCTACACTGTGCAGCCATGAAGGTTACGACGTGACTCGGAGGATGACGCACCCACTACCTAGCTCAAGCAATTGC